CATCAAACCTGAATATCATTGCCCCCCCCCCCATTTTTTTCTTAGAAATTGTCTTTTTTCTTTTGGGAACAGACGCACAGGATTTTTAGGGTAGTGGGTGGTGCAAGGGATCATTTTTAGAGTTTGGGATAAAATCCTTCTAAGCTTGTAGGAGAATCCTTATTCCAATTAATTCCCATATTACTTAAAAGCCGGCTCATAGTTTCTAGTAAATGATTCCAGTAAGCAACAGGTCCAACAACAGTTATGTCTGATACTTGATTTGCTTTTCCTTTTGATGTTTAAATTGTCGGTTTATTCTGACCCAGCTTCAGGAATTTCCTCCAGAATAAAATAGGGTTTAATAAATTATGAATAGTGTGACAAAAAGACACACTCCTACCTTTCTTGTGAAATCAAATAGGTTGGGACATGATAACTTCTTTTTTTTACTTATGTGTAGTGCTGCCACCACCCACAGTTTTACTTACATAGGGGATTTTGACTTGCAATATTTCTGAGGAAAAGAGTCATCATCCTTCTGTTAACTCTATGATCCAGTGTGGCTGTCCATAAGTCTCTAAACTTGGAACAAGTGTAGAGCCAAATAAAGCCTCTGTATTTCTCCTGCCAAGCAAAAGTCTGATTTTGTCCATCTGAGTCTTTTGTCCCTGCTCACAAGGAAGAGAGGGTGAGATGCTGCCAGGTTACATAGCATTGCAGTGGAGCATCACTCCTTTCCTCCCTGTCCTGAGAACACCCACTTAACACCAGCTCCAAGGTCAGTCTTCCATCTTCTGTGCTGCAGCCAGTGCAAAAAGCATCATGCCAGCTGTAAGGGCAGAGAAAGAAAACTCCTAGGTTGGATTTCCAGCTCCTACCTTGGAGTACATTTCAAAGGTCAGACCTGGGACTCTGGCCTCTCTTATGAACATCCAGACAGTGTCTAGAACCATAGGAATGTGCCCTAAGTAGCTTAGGCATGAGCAACCAGCCTGTGGATGAGAATAGAGCAGTTGCTTGAAAAGGTTTAAACTTGAGATTTCTTTCCTATTTGGCAGAGTTCATTGTATATTCAGGCAAAATTCATGGACTACAAGAGCTGCCTGCATTGCTGTTACACGCATAAGAATTCTTAGAGAGAGAACTTCGGGCTTTGGCTTTTGTTATAAGCAGATTCTTTTAAAAAAGTTAAACCTCTTTCAAGTTTCAGTTAGTCTTCCTTCATCTGCCTTTTTTCACTTCCTGTTTGGTTCCTAATCTGGTACATGTAGATGAGTTTTGATTATTCCCTTTATTCCTTTTGTTATATCTATATCTAGATACCTATTTATTTATTTATTTATTTATTTATTTATTTGATTTATATCCTGCTTTTTTCTTACAATGAACTCAAAGCAGCTTACATCCTCCTCCTCCTTCTGCACTCAAACTTATCCCCAGAACAACCCTGTGAAGTAGGTTGGGCTGAGAATCTGTGGCTGGCTCTAAGTCACCCAGTTGCCTCCATGGCTGAACAGGGACTAAAACCCAGATTGCCTGAATCCCAGACCTGTACTTTTAACCACTGCACCACACAGCTCTCACCCTACTGCTGTTGCCATAATTTTTTTAAAAAAAATCTTATTGTTTTCATCTTTAATTCTTTAATCTCCCAAGATGTTCATAAACCTCCAAGTTCAGAGAGTTACAGGCCGCCACATTGGATAGTGCTGTTCATCTGCTGTTCATGTATTTATTTCTGTTCTTTAGTATTTGATAGCTTTATCTTGCATGCTCAGTATGTTCTCAGACTTCTTAAACTTAAAAATCACTGTTTTTTTCCCTTGTCTTTGCTCTTTTGTTCAGTAGTTTTTGCTTCTGATATCAAAATTATTCAATCTGTTTGAATTTTAATTGAAACCCACATTTAAAATTATCTTCCTAAGTTGGATGCTTGGCCTGTACTTTTTTCTTTCCTTACCTATTCTTTTTTTCTCGTTGTTTGCTTCTCTTCAGACCATGGGCAGGGCTTATCTCTTTCTACCTTTTGTACAGTAAAAAAAGTAAAGACTATTTACTTTCCTTAGAAATGTACAATTTCCCTAGAAATGTACAAAGACAACTTGTATCCTGGGACTGTACAATGGAAGAGAAGCACAACAGCCATGATGGTGGTTTATTTAGAGCAAATAGTGTTCTACACACTCTTCAGAGTAACATAAACAAAACCCCAAGCAATGTATAATTAAAATTTTGACTCTGGGGGTGAGAGAGGAAGATAGATATGAGGGTAACAGGAGGATATTAGCTCAGTAGCAGGTGTTTAGGCTTAGTTTCAGTCAGGGTCCAAGGACAATGAATAATAATTTATAGTGTGGCACAGAGATAAGGAACTGTTTTCCTGTCAAGTACCATATTGCCTTGATTGAAAGGGGCCCCATTTCAGTAGTGGGTGTGTCAGAGTCCAAAGTAAGTAGGTTCTTCGATGTGGCTCTTACTTCTTTCAATATATGACAAAAAAACAAACATTCACATGTAGGCTATCCTGGTCCTGCATCCATAGGGGCCAGGTCCAGATGACAGCATCTTTAAATGGAGAAACCAGTCCAGTCCAGGGGGTCAAACTATAGAATTTGTTGTGTGAAGCATCCAGGTCAGGCAAGGATGTTCAAGAGAATAGGCCAGGAAAATAGCTAAAAGTCAAGGAATCAGTTTGGTTTGAAAAATCAGCACAAACACTGCAAAGGAACACCACTGTGTGCAGCAAAGAGCAGTTTCTGGCTGGGCTAATTTATAGCTGGTTGTAAATCCTCACACCTGGCTAATTAGGTCAACATGTTGCTTTTAAGGAAGGACCCTTCTTTGTCTTCTCTTTGGACTCCTTTCCTCAGGGTGCATTCCCTCTGGCTGTGCCTGCTGCCACAGGGGAAGTCCAAGAACTGCCCAGGAGGGCCCATGGCACTCCTCTAATGGAAGTCTGTCAGCTGCAGCTTCAGTGTCATTGTCTGACTCTGGCTGGACTACACTGTGCTGGCTCTTCCCCTCTTCTTCCTCCTCTGATGAATCCTCTTCCAGGCAGGACATTACATAGGCATTCTTTGTTTTACAAGCTCCTGCTTGCTTTTTATTTAAAAGTCTCTGTGAGAAGGAGTAAACAGTAACTCAGAACAGGGGCATAAGAGGATGGATGGAGCCTGGGGCAAGTCATTTGTCTTGGTATAGAGGCTCTTTGCTCCTGGTATAGTAGACAGGGAAACATATGGGCCATTCTTCCTGAGCCTGCCTGCAGTTCAGCAAGACACATCTCTTTTAGCATAATTAATGGTTGTCTGCTTTGGGCCAGAAGAGTACATCCAGTAGCCTGTTGTGACAAGTTCATGTGGTATTTTGAAGACATTAATAGGACACCACAGTTAATGCAGTTTCATTAGCAGAGTTGTTCAGAGTGCTATTAGGGTCATTCTTAGGAGTTTCAGGTGTTGAGGCCTGGGAAGGTGCTTGGCTAAGTTTGGTCAACTACCTGTATGATTGGCTCTTGTCCATCATGGCTTATTACTTCTACTCGTAACGGAGAAGCTATAAGGCTTGATCCAGGAAGTCATAAACTCCTTGAGAAGGAATAGTGCCAGTCTCTTTAAAGGAGGTGGCAATTACGGCATTTCTAAAAAAGCCTAACCTTGATTCAGCTAACAGGTAACAAGTTATAACTATAGGCCAGGAGCCAATATTCTCATCCTGGGCAAAGTGCTTGAGCAAGTGGTTGCTGGGCAACTTCAGATACTTTTTGTTTTACTATCTTCTGCTTAAAGACTGTGAGACAGGGTAAATAACCAATTTCCTAGACCCTGTCAATCAGACTGTAGGCCTGATTCTGGAAAGGAAACTGTCTTAGTACCCTGTTGAATGACCTTAGGAGAGGAATGGGGAGTATTGTCTTGGACCTCTCAGTGCCTTTGATAGCAGTAACCATGCTGTCTTTTTGGACAGGCTGTCCAGGTTGGAATGTGGAGGCACTACATTGCAGTGATGTTCCTACCTGCACACTCAGCGCTGGAGGATTATTGCTCTGTCTTGGCAATTGTGCTTTGGGGTTCCACAGGGCCTGGTTTTATCCCCCATGCTGTCCAACACCTACGTAAAACTATTTCGGCAGGTTATTCAGAAGAATGGGCTGTAGTGCCATCAATGCACAGATAACATCCAGCTCTAACTCTTTATCAAATCCAGGTGAGACACTAGCTGCTCCAAATTAGTGCCTGAGCACAGTAATGGGCTGGATGAAGGCCAATAAATTGAGGCCCAGGCAAGATGGTGGTACTCTTAATGGGTGGTTTACTTTCCTGGATAAGTGTATTCAGCCAGTTCTGGAGTTAAACACTCCCCATAAAGGATCAGATTCATAGTTAATGGTTGATACGTTAACTACATCTATACCTGGAAAGAACATGGATAACTTAGTTACAGTTATCTATGCTCTTGAAACTTTGATTGGATTACTACAACGTACTGTATGCAGAACTAGCTTTGAAAATTGTCCTGAAACTTCAACTGGTCCAAAATAGGGCAGTGAAATTGCTAACAGGGCCTGGCTAGCATGAAATATGAGGTCAGTAATTTACCATTGCACTGGCTGCCAGTCCACATCCTGGCCCAATTCAAAGTGCCAAAGGAAGTCATGTTGGTGACAACTAAAAAGGGTACCTTTTCTGTTGTGGCATCCTATGACTGTGGCACTCAATAAACTTCCCAGAAAGGCCCACCTGCTGCCTATGTTGTGTTCTTTCTGGCTCCAATACCTTGTTTTTTCATGACTCTCCTCATGAACATTAGATTTTGTTACTGTTTTAATTCTTTTAAATCCTTTAACCCTAGGTTTTACTCCTTTTTTATTTCATTTTTATACTGTAGTTTTATACATTTCAATTTTTATACCATTTTATGCTATACTTTATGGTTTAAATTGTTGTGAACTGTCCAAAGAATTGTTGGGCATTATACAAATGTAGCAAATACATTTTGTCTTCTCCATCTTTTTTCAGGCTGTTGAAAATGAAGAAAAAAGGAAACTAGAAAAGCAGCAGGAAGAAGAAGATAATGTAGCTGAGATCTCAAATCTACTTAAAGGAGATCTGCTCTCTGAAAACCCCCAGCAAGCTGTCAGCTCCTTTGAAGCAAATCGAGTGATCACTGACAGGTGGAAAGGGATGAGCCAAGATCAGTTGAAAGAAATACCTGATGTTCAGATGCAACAAGTTCTAGAAAAGCTGGTATTCACTTTTATATCATCACTGTGAAACAGTAGGATCTTATTAAGACTGTTGCTCGTGGCATTTTTTAACCAATCACTTTAAATAAATATTCTTAAATAAATAAATCTTCTTCTACCTAAGAACTAGTTCACAGGTAATCCCGTGCCACTCTGATCTTATAGCTTCCTTGGGTCACTGCCAAACTTTTAAAAAGTAACAGCATATTAAAATATATGATTAATTTCTTAAGTAATATTTGACAATCATTTACAGTATCTAACAAGAAAGAAAAATAATGTAGAGCAACTATGTCAGGGAGAAGGTTAACCTTTCTCTTTGAAAACTAGCTTACCATGTGCAGGGCTTTTATGCATTTTCTGTAATAAGTGTTCAGTCATTTGAGCTCTTACCTGCACTTTTAAGTTTGCCTTCACTGTAAGAACTAGGCCTAAGAAGAACTGTGAGCCACACAAAAATAATTCAGTGAGCCTGTGGATCACGTGTGAACATGTTTTGTGTGTAGTGTGTATGTGATCTGTGAGAGCTCTCTGTGCCTGTTCTGCCACACGCTTTTCTCCAGATGGTTTCTGCAATTGCAGATGTTTCTGGACTAGTTTTTCAGCCGAGAATGCATATGGAATACCATTTGCACATCCAGGAAGCCCTAGTTCAACAAGGACGGGTCGGCAACCTTTGACACCCAAAGAACCATTTGGACCTGTTTCCCACACAAAAGAAAACACTGGGAGCCACAAAACCCTTTTGACATCTAAAATGAAGATAACACTGCATATATCGTTTCTTACCTTAATGCTATGTATATCTTCATTATGATTTAGCTGCAGCTCTTGTTCAGTCGCTAAAAACTGTTATTTTTAATCTTACATTATAAACTAGTAGGACTCCTTTCATATATTTTGAATAAGAGAACAGCTTCCTGAAGAGTCAAAGTCAGTGCTAAAGGGGTGCATACATTAAACAGCAAACCCCATAAGTTCGTCAGCAGTAAAAGCAAATGAATCCACCCACATATCATTAAACGTTTGGTTTTCTTCAGAAACTTTTCTTCGATTTATCCATGGTTGGCCTACTGGGGGAAGTCGCAGATATAGGTGTGTTTTTTATTATTATTATTATTATTATTATTATTATTAACATTTCTATGCCGCCCCTTGCCGAAGCCTCGGGGCAGCTTACAACACAATAAGATACATTGAAATACAATAGAACATAATAAATTACCAATAAATACAAAAATACAAAAAATACACTGAGATATAATAATATAAAATTAAAATTAACAGTATAAAATAAGTAAATAAAGAATATAGGAGGAGGAAAGAGAAGGAAGAAGAAGTTGCCCTGGCCAGATCATATATTTTAACAATTAAAATGATGTTTAAATAAAAAGGTCTTTACCTGGCGCCGAAAAACCAGTAACGACGGTGCCAGGCGGACCTCTTTGGGGAGTGAATTCCATAGGTTGGGTGCCACCGCAGAGAAAGCCCTCCTCCGAGTACTTACTCTCCTAATTTCTTTCATGGAGGGTTCCCGGAGAAGGGACTCTCCCACAGATCTCAAAGGGCGGTCGGGCATATACGGACGTAAGCGCTCGTTCAGGTAGCCAGGACCCAAGCAGTTTAGGGCTTTATAGGTCATAACCAACACCTTGAATTGGGCCCGGGCTTCAATGGGAAGCCAGTGAAGCTGATGGAGGACTGGAGTCATGTGAGCATAACGCCCCGTCCCCATCAGCAACCTGGCAGCTCTATTTTGCACCAATTGAAGTGTTCGGACCGTCTTCAGGGGAAGCCCCATGTAAAGCGCGTTACAGAAGTCTAGGCGGGAAGTCACCAGCGCGTGTGTCACCGTCGCCAGGCAGTCGTACTCCAGGTAGGGGCGCAGCTGATTAATCAGCCGAAGCTGAAGGAAGGCGCTCCTCGCCACCGCTGTCACCTGAGCTTCCAAAGAAAGCTCCGGGTCGAGGAGTACTCCCAAGCTGTGGACCTTGTCCCTAAGAGGGAGTGTTGCACCATTCAGGACCAGGTCAAATCCACCCTCTCCGAAGCCCGATCCGCCAACCAACAGGACCTCCGTCTTGTCTGGATTGAGTTTCAGTTTATTGGCCCTCATCCATTCCCTTACCTCGGCCAAGCACCGGTTCAGCACAGCCACTGCCTCACCTGGATTAGTGGAAAACGAGAGGTAGAGCTGGGTATCATCAGAGTATTGATGATTCCGCAGCCCACAGCTCCTGATGACCTCTCCCAGCGGTTTCATATAGATGTTAAATAGCAGAGGGGATAGAATGGAGCCCTGTGGTACTCCATGGCATAGCTGCCATGGTGCAGAGACATAGTCCCCCAGCACTACCTTCTGGAATCGACCGTTGAGATAGGAGCGGAACCACTGCAAAGCAGTGCCTCCAGCCCCCAATCCCGCTAGCCTATCCAGAAGGATACCATGGTCGATGGTATCGAAAGCCGCCGAGAGGTCCAGAAGAACCAACAGGGATGCACTCCCCCTGTCCTTCTCCCTGCACAGGTCATCGTACAGGGTGACCAAGGCAGATTCAGTACTGTACCCGGGTCTGAAGCCGGACTGAAAAGGATCCAGATAATCAGTTTCATCCAAGAGTGCCTGGAGTTGTCCCGCCACCACTCGCTCCAACACCTTGCCCAGAAACGGGATGTTGGCCACAGGTCTATAGTTAGTGGCCATCTCTGGATCCAGTGACGCTTTCTTCAGGACCGGTTGTATTGCCGCCTCCTTTAAAGGGGCAGGCACTCGACCCTCCCTCAGAGAAGCGTTAACCACTTCCAAGATCCAGGTCCCAATCCCGTGCTTGGAGTTATTTATTAACCAAGACGGGCAAGGATCCAATAGGCAAGTGGTGGGACATACTCGTCCAAGCATCTTGTCCACATCATTGGGCCGCAATAATTGAAATTCCTCCAATAATTTTGGACCAGACGGTAGCATTGGCGACTCCCCAGAGACCTCTGATTCATTAGTGGAGTCCAGCTCGTGACAAATCTGAGCGATTTTCTCCCTGAAATGCCTGGCAAAGTCGTCACAGCGGGCCTTTGAGGGTGGCATCAGATCTTCCTTAGGACCCGGGTGAACCAGGCCTTGTACCACTCGAAAAAGCTCCGCTGGACGGCATTGTGAGGAGGCAATGGAAGCGGAAAAAAACTTCTTTTTCACCGCCTTCACCGCCACAGCATCGGCCCGATAGTGGGCTCTCAAGTGTGTTCAGTCAGATTCATCCTGTGATTTCCTCCACCTACGCTCTAGTTGACTGATTAGCAGATAAACAGTCAAGTGATGTGAATTGTGACAGGTCCCAAGCGCAGCTTTTATCATTCAGAGGAAGGAGATTACATTTGGACAAAGAAAATCTTTTCAGCTGCGTAACATGAGAGCCTGCAGGAAGCTTGTTCCACTCTTTCCCTGCATTGTCGCAATTTACTTAACCTGCTAGCGCAGGGTTCCTGAGTAGATGCCTCATCATCACCTATTGGTATTTTGTAACTCAGAGCCTCCGTCACAGATCGGCGGCTGCGACACATATTTTGGGTGATGGAACCACAGCAGAGGGATTCAAGAGCCATGTGCGGCTCTGGAGCCGCGGGTTGCCGACCCCTGAACTAGGACAATCCATTGCTAGCTATGAGGAAATAATGAGTACTCCCTTTTTGTCATAGAGACTGGAAGAAGAGGAGCGCCAGCGAAATTTAGAATGGGACAGAAAGCGCGTTCAGGAAGCCAGGGCAGCATTGCTTTATGAACGCCATCAGCAGCGTCAGAATCGAGAGCTCCGTAGAGCATTAGATAACATGAATGCACAACTCTCCCAGGAACAGAAAGCAAGGTAAGGATGTCAGAAAATTCAGGGCTTTTACCAAGAATTTCATGGGCTGAGTATGGAGCCTAGTCTAATGAGCTACAGTGCATTCTGTGTGTATGCTGTGACCCCTTTTCAGGCTCACAGAGGAATTGGGATGTGTCATATTAGCTCCTGTGATTGGTAGATAAATATAAAGCCTCTGGATTGTTCAGGTTTAGTATAAAGATTGAGATCCTGGTCTTATGCCTTTACCCGTTCAGTAGAGCAGTACCATGTGCCTGCTGTTCTTTCTGCTCCAGCTTCCAGTCTCTCCAGCTTCAATTCCTTTCCCTTGAAACCCTGATCTCAATATACCCACCCTAGCAGATCAGTAGTTTAGAATGGTCTTGTATTGGTCCTGACAAGAGATAATGAACTTAAGAAGCAGATTTATTTACTTTAAATTCATCCATTTTTCACAGTAATACATATGAAAAACACATTAGATTTCTTCCAAATGACACTTTCATATCAAATGCCTGTAGTATTGGAAGATACTGTATTTTCTAAGACAAATATACATTCAGTATACAGTTATACCTATATTTTCATTATCTTAAATAGGCAACATATTAAATAAATATGTTTATTTTCAGGCAAACTTATCTTGAAGAAGAAGTATATGCAAATTTTCCTTCTGGCCAATATTACACACAATTTAACACCACAAGCCGCTGATGCAGAAGCCCATGTTGACTGCTGGAGATGTATCTATAACATTTGTTTATAGAATGAACTTCCATTATGTAATAAAGTAGACATAACACCAATATTGTTTTTCTTGGCATAGGAAATTTATGAAATTCAGCACTCTAGACTTTTTGTTTTGTTCAGCAGGAGTTGTAAGAAAACTTGAATTTACGAAAGAAGGAATAAACAATCCAGCAAGATGCTTTTTACAGTTCTAATTATTATAAATTATTGATTTTCACTGTAATGGTTTTTGATGAATGAATCTGTTTCCAGTAAGTTAAATGGGATTTTTAGGGATTGTTCAGTGCATTATATGTATAGCCATATAAGGTAACATTTTTTCACAATGAAACTACTGGCAGAAATACATAATTCATGAGATATAGGAGTGCTGCTAAAAACAATATCCCCATGATGAGTTTTCCACTATATCATATGGTATCATTTACCCTATGTAGTGATACCATAATATAGCATAGTTTTCCTCAACCTCACCCCTTTCAGATATCTTGGACTATGCATCCTTTCATACCTCACAATTGGTCATGTTGTCTTAGCTGATGGGGATTATAGTCCAAAACATCTGGAGGACATTAAGTTAATGAGGGATGACATTTTGCCTTTTTCTACTCTTGTTCTACTTCATTGGCAGGGGTGGGGAAACAAGTGACACTATGATATAGATAAGTGATATTATGTATTATGGAGAAAACTTGCACATGGGCATCTTTATCTCAATTGTAATCTGTGATTTCTTCCTGTGCATAGATGGGACAAAAAGAATTTGCAAAGAAAGATTCTTCCTTTTGTTCAGGAAAAAGATGTCTTAAACTAATTTTTATGACCTTTATTCAGTCTCTCACCTGAGTTTGTGCTGGTATAGGCCACCAGATAAAACCTTCCAGAAGCTTTTGTCTTCTTAGAGAAGTGCTGTGGGGCACTTCCCACAATGTTCCCCAGTCTGTTTAATGGTTTTTACATGATGCCTTGGAACATTTTAATTTTTAATCATTTTGTAGGAGTTTAAATAAATAAATTACTTTTGAGATCAAATACTTGGGAATTGTGTAATATGCTTTGTCATCAATGGGAGTACATAGGTGAATGGTTACAAATACTAACTCTCCAGTCTTGAGTAGTCTTATGTTCTGTTATGCTTCTCCGTGCATACGCAGGCACATGCCATGATTGGATCCACGTAGCACAATCCAGAATGCACTCACATGCCAGAGCTCTTCTGACAGTTTTACTTTTATTAGGTCCCCTGATGAATCCAAAAATTGCTTTTTTAAGCTTCCCCCAAGTATAAAAGTCACTATGTTTAATTAGACAAGCTGGCTACTAAATGCTCTTTCTAGATACAGCACAATATCTTCTTGCTACTCTCAGCTTTCAGATAGTACCTTTCCAAAATGTTCATTTCCTACCTTCATTCTGAAGTAATAGAGAAAATGTTGCAATGTCATTCTGCAGTGAAGACCAGGCCATAGATAGACTCTCAGAGTTACACAGTGATGTTCTGAGGAACATTTAAATGCTCATGGGGGAAACCTGATAATCAGAAGGATAACCAGTTATTTAAATTTTGGCTTGCTTTTGTTTTTGTTTATTTATTGGTTCTACAATCAATGATATTGCTTCCAAATAGAAGATTGGATGCGTAGATAAGAACAAATAGGCAGACAAAGACAGCAAAGAAGAGCAGGACTATGATGAGTAGAATGTAGATGCAAGTTACAACAGCACTGTCCCATAGTGGCATAATGTTCTTTCTAGGACACAATAATGGAAAATGGTACCAGTGTCTTCACTCTAGAAAACAAAATATATGGAATATCTCAGAAATGGCACAACTAATACATCATTTAGGTGTAACTGCTTATTTCCTCATCACTTTATTCTCACTGAAATAAAATTCTAAAATTTTATTTAGAATAAAATTTAGAATACTTTTATCCATATATCAGGGTCAAGGCACTGGACTTTCTAGCTAGATAATATTGCAAGAAGCTTAATGTGTATAAATTAACTTCCTTATTGATTTTGAGTACAGTTTAGATTAAATAGTATCAATATCCAGTGACATGAAGCAAGGGTGGGAAAAGTATTGTGAGACTGGAGAGTTGAGAAATGGCATCAATGGCTTTTGAAGAACTGTTTAAAGTTGTCAAGACTGTTGGCCAGTTCTGTATATATGTGCTCCCCTTTTTACATTGAAATTGCTTGTTTGGTGGGCAGTGGATGCTTTCTTTTTTTATCCCCGCTTTCTATTTAAAAAACCCCAGAAAAAATATAAACACAAACATCACAATATAAATAATATGGCACACAAAAGCCCAACTAATAAATAAAGAAGTAAATAATACAGTGCTCCCACCACCCAGGAGGCCAATAATACCTCCATTTTAATTCATATAACAATTAATAATATCTAATATACTTCAATTATATCCATATTCCCTCCAGAAATTCATATAATCTTGATTAGGTTTACAACCTTTACCTTCTATCAATAATGCTTTTACAAAATCTTCCCATAATTTCATTATATCTATTTGCTTTTATTAATCCTTTTTAAATTTTTATTTCGGTTGTCAGTTTATCATTAATTACCATATTCCATATTTCATTATACCATTCATGCCTTGGCAAAACCCAATTCTGTTATCAATATTTAACTATCACTAACCTAGCTGCCATTATCAAACTTAGGATCAATTCTTTCTTACCTTCATTTATATTTTGTTTTTCAATCAGCAACAATAACACAATTCTTGGTGACATTTCTAAATCTAAATCTAACATTTCTCTAATTTCATTAAACACCATAATCTAAATCCTTTATATATTAACACAATCCCACCACATATGTTTGTAAGTTTCAAACCCTTTCCCACATCTCCAACATGTATTAGAGTATTTATCATCAATTTGATTTAACTTAACTGGTGTTAAATGCCATCTCAATATCACTTTATATCCATGTTCTTTAATTCTAACCAACATATTCTTATATACTCTTCTAGTCCAAATATTCTTCCAATCCTTGTCTTTTATTTCATCTACATCCATTTCCTGAGTTGATTTTAAACTTTTTGTCTGATCCCCTTACTTCATTAATATCCTATAAATTTTAGCAATTCTTCCTTTGCTTGTATATTCTTCCTCAATCTCACATTCTTTCATAATAGTTTCAAATTTTGTTAATTGTCTTTCTTCCTATTTAAATTTATCCTCCATCTTTGTCCATTTTTCTAATTGAATTAAATTTAACCAATTTAATTTAGCCTCTGGCAATATACTCCTTAATTGTATCATATTTTCTATCTTATTTTTCCAGTCTTCTCATTTATATATATGGTTATTTTTAAATTTATTAATCCAATCCATTATTATTATTATTAAAACATTTCTATGCCGCCCCTTGCCGAAACTTCAGGGCGGCTTACAACATAATAAAATACAAAAATAACAATATAAAATTAAAATTAACAATATAAAATAAATAAATATAAAATATAAAAGAAGTCACCCTGGTCAGATAAATAAGCAAATATTGTTAACAATTAAAATGACAATTAAATAAAAAGGTCTTCACCTGGCGCCAAAAAACAAATGACGGTGCCAGGCGGACCTCTCTGGGGAGCGCATTCCATAGATTGGGCGCCACCGCAGAGAAAGCCCTCCTCCGAGTACCTATCCTCCTAATTTCTTTCATGGAGGGTTCCCAGAGAAGGGCCTCTCCCACAGATCTCAAGGGGCGGTCGGACATATATGGATGTAAGCGCTCCTTCAGGTAACCAGGACCCAAGCCATTTAGGGCTTTATAGGTCATCACCAACACCTTGAATTGGGCCTGGACTTCAATGGGAAGCCAGTGAAGCTGACGGAGGACTGGAGTCATGTGAACATAACACCCCGTCCCTGTCAGCAACCTGGCAGCTCTATTTTGAACCAATTGAAGTATCTGGACCGTCTTCAAGGGAAGCCCCACGTAATTTAATTCTATTTTTGGGAATTTCTCCATTTCGACCACTGGTGTTAATGGAGAAGTTCCCAGGATTAACTGTTGTCTCCATTTTTCTCATACTTCCATCATATTTTTAAAAGGGGATTTTGAATTCTCTTAATAATCTTTTAAATATACTTTTTAAATCAATATGTCTCTAAGTGATCGCCTATTTCCCTTAATTCTTTTAATTTGATATCACTCCATATTCTTTATTTTGGGCTATTGTATCTGGAACTGTCTTTAGTTGGTCTGCAACCCAATACTTTTTAACATCTGGAATGCCCAGCCCTCCTTTTTTTTTTTTTTTTTGGTGATTCATACCATAGTGCTTTACTTATTCTTGCTCTCTTCCCTCCATTACAATAAACCTCCAATAATTTCTGCATTTCCTTTAATTCTTGATCAGAAAGCCTGACTGGAATAATCCAAAACAAAAAATTAATCTTTGGCAGAATTTTCATTTTGTTACTGCTATTCTTCCAAACCATGATAATTTTACCTTTTCATATTTTCTTATTTTATCTTTTATATCCTTCTTTCTCTTTCCATAATTTTTTTTCTTTAATTCTTGACTATCTTTTGACTATAAATTCCTAAGTATCTGATACTACTATTTTTAATTTATATTTTTCTTTTAATATATCCAATTCTTCACTATTGTGATTATATTACATCATTTCTGATTTTTCCCAATTAATTTCCAACCAACTATACTTCCCAAATTCCTTTAAATGTGAATATATCCTCTCTATAGTATTTATTGGATCTTGAAATGTCAACAATGTATCATCCACAAATAAATTAGTTTTAATTTTCTGACGTACTCCAATTCCTTCTATCTGTATATCATTCCTAATTATATTTGCCAATACTTCCATCATTAAAGCAAATAATACTGGGGATAAGGGACAACCCTGTCTCGTCCCTTGACTTAGGATTATTGTTTCTGTAATACCATCACTTACCATTATTTTCACCGTATTTTCTGAATATAATTGATTTATTACTTTCTTAAACTTTACTCCAAATCCCATCTTCTCTATTAAGATCTTCATTTTTGGCCATTCCACACACTCAAAAGCTTTAAATATATCTAATGCTAGTATACTCTTTTATATTTTGCTTCTCAATATAATTGTCTCAGTTCGAATTCAAGGAAAACCATTCAACATCACAATAGTCTAAATCTATGCCCCAACCACTGGTGCTGAAGAGGCTGAAGTTGACTGGTTCTATGAAGGCCTACAACACCTTCTAGAATTACCTCCAAAACATGATCTCCTTATCATCATGGGAGATTGGAATGCTAAAGTAGGAAGCCAAAAGATAACTGGACTAGCAGGCGAGTTTGGCCTTGGAGTACAAAATGAAGCACGGCACAGGCTGGTAGAATTTTGTCAAGAGAATACGATGGTCATAGCAAACACTCTTTTCCAACAACCCAAGAGACGACACTACACATGGACGTCACCAGACAGTCAACACAGAAATCAGATTGCCTGTGTGCTCTGCAGCCAAAGATGGAGAAGCTCTATACAGTCAGTAAAAACTAGACCAGGAGCTGACTGTGGCTCAGATCATGAGCTTCTTGTTGTAAAATGTAGGCTTAAATTGAAGAAAGTAGGGAAAAGCACTAGGCCACTCAGGTATGACCTAAATCATATCCCTGATGAATATACAGTAGAGGTGACAAATAGATTTCAGGAATTAGATCTGATAGACAGAGTGCCTGAAGAACCATGGACGGAGGTTTGCAACATTGTACAAGAGGTAGCAACTAAAGCCATCCCAAAGAAAAAGAAATGCAAGAAAGCAAAATGGCTGTCTGAGGAAGCTTTACAAATAGCTGAGGAAAGAAGGGAAGTGAAAGCCAAGGGAGAAAGAGAAAGAGAAAGATACACCCAATTGAACGCAGAATTTCAGAGAATAGCTAGAAGAGATAAGAATGCCTTCTTAAATGAACAGTGCAAAGAAATAGAAGAAAACAAAAGAATAGGGAGGACCAGAGATCTCTTCAAGAAAATTGGAGATATGAAGGGAACATTTCATGCAAAGATGTGCACGATAAAGGACCAAAATGGCAGGGACCTAACAGAGGCAGAAGAGATTAAAAAGAGGTGGCAAGATTACACAGAAGAACTATACAAGAAAGAGCTTAACGTCCCTGATAACCACGATGGGGTGGTCACTGACCTTGAGCCGGATATCCTGGAATGTGAAGTCAAATGGGCCTTAGGAAGTCTGAGCAGCAACAAAGCTAGTGGGGGAGACAGTATTCCAGCTGAGCTATTCAAAATCTTAAAAGACGATGCAGTAAAAGTGCTACACTCAATATGCCAGCAAATTTGGAAAACTCAACAGTGGCCAGAGGATTGGCAAAGGTCAGTTTACATTCCCATCCCAAAGAAGGGCAATGCCAAAGAATGTTCAAACTACCGCACCATTGCACTCATTTCACATGCTAGCAAAGTGATGCTCAAAATCCTACAAGCTAGGCTCCAGCAGTATGTGGACTGAGAACTACCAGAAGTACAGGCAG